CTCCATTAATAAAGTTTTCCTTTAATAATGACAAACTATTAATGACCAACATGTTCCTTTATTGAAACCATTACACGAACCTTTGAAAACCTGAGTAGAGAAAAAGAAAAAAAATGTAAATAATTGCTAGTTACTAGTTGAATTATTGATCATATATATGTGCTCCATAAGTATTGATGGTGAGAAGAGGTATAGTATTTGGGTTTTGAATTATGACCTGGGACTGTATAATTATATAGTTAAAGGGAATGTAAATAAGGGTTACCAGTCTTGCCCAAATTGATAACCCAGATACCAATATGACATGATTAATTTGCATTGATTTTTTAATGAAAATAGACTGTTCATAGTTTTTTTGTTTTGAAAATTTGGGAGCTGAATAAAACAAGAGAGCAGTTCCATAATCATCTCTTTTAAATAATAATAAAATGATGAAAATTTATAATCAATTTTTAATATTTAAAAAAATATTTTTATATAAAATTTATATTATTATAATTCTTAGGTTTTAAACTTTATTTTAATATATATATTTTTAATATTTATATTGTACAATCTAAATATTTAGTTAAATTGTTAAATTGATTTAAAAGATGATATTTACTTTTGAGTATAAAAAATTTTCAAGAGGAATTTAACAAAAATAATTTTATCTTAATATGTTTTCTTTAATTTTAGATATTCTTTTATAGATTTTAACTATAATTCAATTTGAATTAATATTTAAAAAAAGAAATTTTGGATTGAAAATAAGATTATGAAATTTCTTGAGATTTAAAGGATTAATGAAATTTTTAAACCAATTGGACTTTGAATTACATTTTGTAATTTCTATATAAGATATAAACTGATATCAAATAAACTTAATAGTACTGTCAAATTTAAGAAGCTAGTTGATAAATATAATGTTTAATATATTTGCTATATAGATGGTTATTCTTTTGTAATATCTTTTAAGGCTTTTGAAAAGCAAGCTTATTGAGTTTCAAATATTGTTAAAGTAAAAGAAACATAATGCTAGGTATAATTGAATTTTAAAATCTTTTGTTGTAAGTACTATATTTAAAATCCAGTTGTCTTGATTGAATTTTTCTAAATTACATAACAGATAAAACTGGATTGCCTTTTTTTATATAATTAATTTGATGTTTTGATAAAGATATTTGTTAATCAATAGAGAGTTACAAGTTTAGCTATTAGATTGTTGATTAGTAAAGGTCTTTGTTTTTCCTTAAGCAAAAAAATCTTCAATTTTCATTTATTTGCTAAGATCATGTTAAAACATTTTGAAGAGATTTTATATATAGATTTAATAAGTCTGTTAATTTTTTTTTGAAAATTGTTAAACAAAGTTTTGTGAAAATAGGATGTTAAAAAAAAGTATTCGAATTTTCTAAGAACTATTCACTTGATTGTTTTTTGTAAAATTTCACCTTTTCACTTTTTGATAAATAAGTTTTTTTAAAATTTTATTGGTTGTTTCCTCAAAACTTTATTTATTTGCCTTTAATATATTAAGAGAAGAAATTTTAATATCCAGATATCTTAGGCTTTTACATAACTTGGGAACTTAAATAGAATAGTTATCAAATAAGATATATTGAAATAAATTGTTTTTGATTAAAATATTGTTAATTATTTTGGTTTTATTTTTGTTATAGAATAAGTTATTAATTTTAAAAAATTGATTTGCTGTTTCTAGAAGGTTTTCTAATTTGAACTTGGAGTCTATGATTAGAGCAAAATTATTTATATATGCTAAAGTACTAGAGGCTATATATTTGTTAATTTTGAAATATTTAGATAGCTTGATAATAAATAGATTATAAAAAATCATTCGTGTAATTGAAGATAGTATTTTTTCTTGTTTTATATTATTGTTAACTAAAAAAGAATTTGTTGAATCAGATGAAATATTGATAGATACTTCTCTATTGGAAAATAAGTTGATAATCAACTTGATTAGTTTATCTGAACCAGTTGATCCTTTCAAAAGACTTTTGAATTGCTAGTATTAAAACTGAATTAAAAACTTTTGCAATATCTAAAGACACAAACTAAAATTCCTTATTATTGACATTGGCTGCTTGAATAATAGAGTTGACAATAGTTAGTGATTTTATGATGCTTTGTTCAAGAAGTTTTGCAAAGTTGAGATCAGATAGAATTTGATTTTGTTTTAGGATTTTGATAAATCTTTTATTAATTAGTTTTGTAAAAAATTTTCTTGTTAAGTCTACAAGAAATATAAATTTTAGGAATTAAGATGATGATAGTATGTTTTTACAAGTTAGGAATAGTGGATGATTAAATAATAGTATTGAAGATGTTGTATAGTAAAATGATGACATTTTTTTTCAAGAGTTTGGTTTGATAATTTCCTGGTACTTTATTTTTGAGGAATTTCTAATGACTTCATTGAGGATTGTGGGATCAATTGTTGATTTTTAATTACTTAAAATAATATTATTATACTTATTATTCTAATTTTTAAATATTTTATAATAAAAACAAACCATAACGATGATAAAACAAAAATTATAACTGTATATATAAAGATTACGAAATTGTGCATAGCACTATTCAAATATGGAATTCATAGCTTAAAATGGAATTCATTTCTAAATATAAAAAGGACTTCACATATGAGAGAACGCGTAAATATAAAAAAATTACGTTAAAAAAATGTCTCAATTGATATGTTTTAAACCGAAAAGCAAGTTCAATATAACTTTATGTTAAGTGTTATATTAGCTATATTGAATACTTTTTCATTGACGAATTTACTTTCCACAGGTCAAGAAAATACCGAGAATATTGTTTCAATTAGACTTCCTCATCCAAGAACTGGTGATTTTACGCAATTGAATACAATTTTAAAAGCGTAATATGTAACTTCTAATGACTCCTTTAAACATAGGTTTACCTGCGCGTTATATCATTCAAGAAGGAGAATTACTTGAAGTGCAACGAGTAGATTGTGGTTCTCGAAAATCATGGTTTATTGAAGATACGGTTCATAAAGGTATAAAAGAATCTTGTCTATTATCTTATGAAATATTGCAAGTTCGATTTATATTACATTATCCCTACTGAGTAGACGGAAGTTTCTTATTTTTTACACGAATTGATCCGCTGTTTCTAATGCTACCTATCTTGGATGTTTGTCGAAGAAAGGTAAACTCATTTATTCGAAAGTGTTTCCTTAAAAGTTTTCGACAACGTGAATAAGCGTGCAATAATATTCTTTTGCATTCCAGAATTCAGAATCCCAAGGATTTTTTCATACACTAGAAGATATGCTGTTTAATCAAGATTTTCCTAGCATGACGCGACTCTCGTCGGTAAACAACATTTCGACATATTTGGAATGGATCTGTGATAGCCAAGGTAATAATAATAATGGTATATTTTTGTCATAGAATTCATAGTAATATTGACACTATTCGAAATAGATCTAAATCAGGAAAATAAAGTATATAGATTAAATGATGATAAATTAATGAATTGGTTAAAAACAAAGGTAATGAGTATTACCAAAAAGAATTGAATCAGAATAGATGCCTTAATCATAATTTAATTTAAAAATATTTATTGTCTTTACTACAAGGTCACAAATATTTTGTCCAATTTTGATGAACACAAAGCTTTAAAACAACTCTCGGAACAATTAGATAACAGTACGGTAGACGATCGACATATTCAAGGTGAGATAGATAAACATCTGGTTGTTTTTTTTTCATTATAAGTAAATGTAAATATAAATAATCATACAAAAATCGGAATTTAAATAACAGAGCTTCGGCTAAAATTCGCGTTAGAAGTCATCATGGAATATTTGCCAAATTATTGGACCGAACAATTGAAGAAAGAGTATACGTAAGTTAAATTGCAATTATGATAATTTGTATTTTGCATGAATAATATCAAATTATACCTATTTATTATCTCTTGAAATAGGTTTGATGAGCTCGGAAAGTGGTCGAGCCAAGGCATTGTGTATATGACAGAAGTCTCTTCTGTTTATCGTGAAAATAGACAACAAATTGAAAAGGAAATCAAACAGTCAGTCAAGGTAAGTGGTTTTAATTTGGTAATCGCAACTTTTTTTAAAAAAAAAAAATTTTTTTTCCAGACACTAATATAATATTCACATTTCACAGAAGCGCAAGTTGACGCATGGACAATCGTCATTGGCAAAAGCTAATAAAACTGGAATGAAGAAAATGACATCTTTCTTTACCAAAGTTTCTGAAAGTCAATAAACTCTGTGGGTTTCTTTTTCTTAATTTCCTTTTATTAATATAATTATCTCCATAAAAGGTAATCAATATGATGCTTTTTCTATTCAGGATGAAACGTCAACGAAATAAAAAATTTCGGAATTAGCAAATCGATACCTGTATTAACAATTCTACGATAACTTCGAAATAATAAATGTGTACACTCAAGGCTTACTTTATGACTTTGTGGTTTTTTCAAGTAGATCTTTGGCTTCGTTAATTTTACTTGCCAGATAGGGTGATCCTCCTCGATCAGGATGATTAAGCAACATTATGCGACGATGGGCTTCTTTAATTTTAGTTTTGTTAAGAATAGTATTTCTGAAATTGTAAAAGAGCGTCACTTAGAGTTTAAGAACAATAGAACCAGTTTTTTATCAGATTTAGATCTTACCGTAATCCTAAAATTTGCACTGCTTCAGTTTTATTCATTTTCGGTTCAAACCCCCCTTTAGGCCGTCTCTCAATAGGCCTATGAATTGCCGCTTTTAATTTTGGATAATGTTTGATTCCTTTCATAGCCATACGTGCTGCTACCGCGACACCAATTGCCACCAATAAGGTTGTCTAAATTAGATATTCAAATAAAATAATATATCAAAGAATATTTTGGTATTTATATTCCTTTCCAACTTTCTAAAAAAAAACTCACCATTATGAAAAAAACTCAACTACGTTCGAAAGTTACGTATTGCATTAAAATAAAAAATTTTTTACTTCTAAATCAACGTTTTATAATTACCAATCAGATCATTTTATATAAAATATATTATTTTTATTGTGAACGCGAGACTAATCAACTATTCTTTAAATTTATAATAATTGATATTATATTGTATTTAGTGAAATAAGAACTTGAAAATTTTAAATTATTTAAATTTTATATAGTATTTATAATATATTTATATATAAATTGCTTGAAAAATCAAAAATTTTAATTAAATATATCAAATTAAAAATTAATTTAATAAAAAATTTTTTAAAAAATTTTATATACTTATATTAAAATAAATAATTATTTAATAAATATTCATTAATTTTACCAAATATTGGAATTATATGAACTAAATTATCTATTGCTTTTATATCTATTAAATTATATATATCCGTTGATTTAAGATATATACAATTATATATGTATAGTGATTTTTTCAATTTAAAATTATATCATTGTACTAATACTAATTGAAGTGAAGGTCTTTGAATTGTTCCACTTATCTTTATTATTAATAAAATCTAAAAAAATTATATTAGTCTTAAAATAAAATAATATTTATATTTAAATAATTATAATTATCTTTTTGTAACAGATTTTATTACAGTATCTGTCATATAGTTACATAATTCTTTAAAGTTCATTTTAATTAATACATCACTAAACTATGAAGTGTTATAATATTTATTAGATGTCCAAACAACTCCACCATTCTCTATTATAACTATTTATTAATATAAAATTATTTATTAAAATATTCAAAGAATTAAAGTATAATTATAAAATACTTTCAAGGTTTTCAAATCCTTATTTATGATTTTTATTTTCTTTCAAAAGAATTTGAAGTACTTCATTTATCAAATTGATTAAATTTTTTGATTCGAATTTCTATAGTTTATTTAAAAATATAAATACTTTTGAAATAATTATTTGTCCTTTAAAGCTTTATGTGATTTTATCTAATATTATTTTTCTTTAATTCTAAAAATATATAATAATATTAGATATTTCAAAAGTTTGTTAATTGATTTATATACTTACATTTTGCATTAGTT